GTATGTCGTAGCATGTTCACAAATACATTAGGTATAGGTTATAAAACCATTCACTATTGGGTAAATAATAGTTCTTGCGGTATGACTGACGAAGCATTACGTGTTTCTACCAAGAAAATGGTAAAAACTACGTATACAGAAAGTCATAAATACTTTTATGAGAGTTTACCTAAACTTCCTTCACACTATTGTCGGAACGAAACACAAAAATTGTATTTAGAATATTCTATCGACAGTATGTCAGATTTGTATGGTATTTATGTAAACAGTTTTTGTCAAGAAAAGAATTAAACTCCTTTAGGTAGCAACGTATTCTCAAAACGATTTAAGGAGAATAATTTCACTTTATATACACCGAAAAAAGACCAATTCAATATTTGTTTTGCATTTAAATATAAGAATAGGACTGAAGAAGAATATAGAGCTCATATAAAGAGAAAGAAAGACGCCAGAGAAGCTAAAACTTTGGACAAAACCATAAGTGAAAAAGATGAAATAATAGCACTAACAATGTCTTACAATGTCTGTTTAAAACCAAATTGTCCTGCCATAACTTCACAGTTTACAACTTGAAAACTCTCGATGTTATGTGCTAGTGGTTTTCAAAAAACGAAAATAACCAGCTCAAAGCATCCACATTTGTGTCCTGTATCATACATTATTTAGAGGAGAACTGTGTTACCGATTCAAAAACGCCAGTACTTATTTATTCTGAAGGATGCGGTTATCCAAATCGTAATAATATCCTGGTCATCGCTTTACTAAACTTTGCTATCAAACATAATGTGTTAGTGTTTCAAAAATCTTGAATCGGGTTCGGGTCACTCTCAAATGGAATGTGACCCGGTACATAGTATGATAGAAAGAAGTCTTAAAAATATAGAAATCCATTTACCCAGTGACTATGCTTCCATTACAGCTCAAGCAAGAAAATGAATTAAGCCATATAAAGTCAAAATATTAGACCATACGTTTTTTAAAGATTATTCATTCTCCAACCACATGCGATATTCCTCAATCCGACCAGAAAGAAAAGCGTATGACCCAACCATTACTGATATAAAATGTATCAAATACGATCCAGTTGGGACCATAGAAATAAAAACTGACCATAAAGGATAATACTTACAAGTCCTTATCAGACCAAAGACTATGCCAACAATTCTGGACTATCCATATTTATTTCTATCGCCTCCTAAAATAAAAATGAAGAAATGGCAACATTTACAAGATCTAAAATCTACCCTACCAAAAGATTCGCATTTATTTTATGATGACCTTTTACCCAGATGGATCTTTTATTTTGTTCCTTTAGACACATGTACATACTTATGAAATAATTTTTGTTCGTTGTTTTTTGAGGTTTTAATATTATTTTGTGTTTTATAATAATAAGTGTTTTATATTACCATGAATAAAACTGTTTAATTTAATTCAGGTTTAATTTTAAAGAATTATTTAATTTTATTTGGATAAAAGGACATTTATGCTTAATTTTAATAAACAACATCCCCCAAGTCCACATTAAATAAAAATCAGTATCTCCTATGACTAACATTACTTAACGCAATACCTCCTATATATACGTCCATGAGCTTAACAAAACTAAATTCAATGAAATCTTAACTTTTCATAAGAAGTAAAAATGTTGCTTTCACACAGATCATAAAACACAAACAAACAATTGAAATATGTTAAAATTTTATAATTATACAGTTTTTTGTCTCTCCTGAAAAGTTTAGGTGAAGTCACATAGGAGATATTGCCAGGTCACCGAAGAATTGGGTTATAGTAATTATTGTCGGATTATCTGGATTAATATCTTTAGTAAATTATTTATCAAAGACATGTCTTTAACAGTAATAGAAATGATAAGTATATTTCTTTGACGTCTACATCCCGATTCCGATTGTCTCATGTTTTTATTCATTTTCTTTGAACTTCTTGACAATTATTTCCTCGTAAAGTATCTCCTAATCATTACTAGAAGTGTTATCAACACAATACCGCAAGTGGTTTTAGTATTATCTTTAATTTCTCTGTGTTACCAAATATTGGCGGTTCAAGCATATCATTAAATATATATAGTAGACACTCGTTAATTCGAAACTCGAGGAACTCTTAAAATATTACGAATTATTGAGTGTTTTAAATATGAAATGGTTCGAAATTTGTGGGAGAAAATAAATCTTCCAATTGCCGGAAATGCTTTTTCATCACTTTCGTTTTGTAGACAGAAGGTTTGTAAGCTATCTAATGAGGATCTTGCTTCCTTAACTGACACCTCTGCCAAAGGTTCTGATGTATCGTACTCATCTTCATCGTTATTTTTTTCTTTCCTATTTGTCGCAGATAAAATTTCTCCATCAGTTAGTGAACCTGAGACAGCAACATTTTCATCCACTCGAACAAAGTCAGCAAAACTCACACTGCTGATGTCAACTAATGGTTCTATTGCTACCTCTTCATCATCCATAAGTATTGGAAGATTCTCCTGATCTTGTTTTAAGAAACCGGATTTTTTGAAGCAGTTGAGAATTCTTAGGGGTGTTACACCTCTCCATGCATTGTCAATCAGTAAAATATCTGTCAGAAGCGTGATATTTTCAGTTAGCTGCTTGTCGAGAAATTCTAAAACGAGCTTAATAATTTGGAAGTTGTATTTGGCGGAAAGAAGTAGAGTTCCACGTTGGACAATATAGGAAAATTGTTGTGGACAGTGCAATTGTCTAAAAATAGTAAAATTTTCCGCTTTTGCGATTTCATTCCTCATTAACTGTTAAAAGTTAATTGTTAAAAAGTTCTGTCGTAATCTAAGCACAATAATCCGTAGTAAACGATTTCACACCTTTGAAACATCGTAAATTAATTACTATTAAACTGGGAATAAGCCACAATTAAAGATAAAAATACGTTTATTGCCGTTTCAATTTCCACTTCGGAAATCGTTCTCAAAATACAAACAGTAAATTAAACAAATTTTGTTTTTTGTTACATAGTGAAAAATTCTTCTAATAATTTAATTTTATCTGACTCATTTATATTGACAATTCAGACATACATTATGCATTTTAAAGTAGACGACTTTAAAATGATATTGCCAATATTGTTGAGTTGCGCTCCTGGGACGACTTTACTTATAAGATAGTTCATTCGATTACATGAAATCAACTTTAACTTGAGAATATCCGTCAGAAAAAAATCATAGCATGTAATTCGTCTTTAAAAAGACAAACACATGACATGATGACAGTAAAATTCTCCTGTTAGTGATTCCATAGTAAATTATGAGGGAAAAACCAGAAAAAAAAACCTCATAATACTATCCCGACATTGTAAGTATTTGTTCGTGAATTTAGTTTACCTTCAACAAACATCAAAATTCTGATTTTATATGTTACGTTATTTAAAAAAAAAACATAAATGATGTATCCTCTATATGTTACTGACTTACTAATACTGGTATTTTCTTATTAATAACTTCCTCTTTCAATATTGGTAACCAGCTCCTACTACATTCTGCCGAGGAATTTGCGACACAATTGGCCTCATTTAGCATAATTAAAGCCGCTTCTTTGATTTTTCTTTTTTTACCATCCGTTTCTTTTAGGACTACATTTGAATTATTCCATTGAACCATATGTTCATTATCCCATAGATCTCAAATCTGTAAACACGCATGGGATAATGAACATAGGGTTCAATGGAATAATTCAAATGTAGTCCTAAAAGAAACGGATGGTAAAAAAAGAAAAATCAAAGAAGCGGCTTTAATTATGCTAAATGAGGCCAATTGTGTCGCAAATTCCTCGGCAGAATGTAGTAGGATCTGGTTACCAATATTGAAAGAGGAAGTTAGTAATAAGAAAATACCAGTATTAGTAAGTCAGTAACATATAGAGGATACATCATTTATGTTTTTTTTAATAACGTAACATATAAAATCAGAATTGTTGAAGGTAAACTAAATTCACGAACAAATACTTACAATGTCGGGATAGTATTATGAGGTTTTTTTTTCCTGGTTTTTCCCTCATAATTTACTATGGAATCACTAACAGGAGAATTTTACTGTCATCATGTCATGTGTTTGTCTTTTTAAAGACGAATTACATGCTATGATTTTTTTCTGACGGATATTCTCAAGTTAAAGTTGATTTCATGTAATCGAATGAACTATCTTATAAGTAAAGTCGTCCCAGGAGCGCAACTCAACAATATTGGCAATATCATTTTTAAGTCGTCTACTTTAAAATGCATAATGTATGTCTGAATTGTCAATATAAATGAGTTAGATAAAATTAAATTATTAGAAGAATTTTTCACTATGTAACAAAAAACAAAATTTGTTTAATTTACTGTTTGTATTTCGAGAACGATTTCCGAAGTGGAAATTGAAACGTCAATAAACGTATTTTTATTTTTAATTGTGGCTTATTCCCAGTTTAATAGTAATTAATTTACAATGCCACAAGAAAATAGCTTCAGAAGAATATTTGAAACATCGTGTTTTCATTGCTTTTCCTATCACTAAGGGTTTAAGTTTTTCCGATCCTTCCATATTTACTGCAAGTGAAACTGTCAACCTCTTTTTGCTAGGTTTTCCCCCATGACATTTTTTATCTTTAAAAGTAAGCGTCTTGTCAGGTAAACATTTGAAAAATAGGCCAGTTTCATCAGTTTAAGAATGTCTCGGGCATCATTGTTTTCAATCAAGGTCTGCAATTTACCATGCCAATCTAAGCAAATTGCATCATCAACACTTCCACTTACCCCACAAACTTTTTTTAAACACAACTCCATTTCTCTTTTTGAAATTTGTAAGCCACCCTTCAGTTGCCGCAGTTTTTGATGCTTAGAGTAGACGCGACCTCTTTTGCCTTTTCCTTCAATAAGTTTCGGCTAATAGACACTTTTTGTCCTGACACTTACTGACTTTGTTTCTTCATTTAATAACGTACAGTTTGTATAACTTCATCTATAATGATTGTTTGTTTCAGATTCCTTTGTAAACTCTCAGGAATGGACACTCTCGCGTACGGTTCCCGATCTGCGATTGGGAATCGTAGGATCTTTATCATCGGGCAAGTCCGCCCTGGTCCACCGCTACCTCACCGGATCATATATGCAGGAGGAGTCTCCGGAAGGTGGTCGGTTCAAGAAGGAGATCGTAGTCGACAATCAGAGCTATCTGTTGCTTATTAGGGACGAAGGAGGACCTCCTGAGTTGCAGGTGAGTGGAATTTGCAATCATAATAATATATACTGTGACAGTGACATGGAAATCCGAACACCCATTAGAGATTATTATGCTTTGAAAATATTTTGTACAATTATACAAGGTAGCAAAATTAATAAACGATCAAAATTTTAATATGGTTGAAACAATTTACAAGAGTAAATCTATTAATAATGGTTTGATGCACCTCTTTGGGCAACACATTCTTGGATGTGCCTGGGCTCGCTTCTGATTAAGTGGTCAATATCCTTCTAGGATATCTTATTCCAGGCCCTCATTAACTTCTCTCGAGGTGTTCCCAAAGTTTGAGGAGAATAATAATAATGTTTATTTAGGAAGTTTACATAGATTACAATAAACAAAAATCATACTAAATAATAAATAAACTTAAAAACTCTCTAAAGTTGAGCTACTATAAATGTAGCACCTCTTGTGCTTGAGATTTAAAAATATGTATTCAAACAAATATTTAACAATTGTATAAGTTACATAATATGCGTATTTACAAAAATACATTAATTTTTAATTAATGTATTTTTAATTAATTAATGAAGTCAATAGTTAAAATTGAAGCTCCACATCCTAAACGTGATATACCTACCTCAAAGTCTTTCTTCTTCACGTGCCATCTCCGCTACGAAGGTTGGCTATTATCATGGCAATTTTGACCCTGGAGGCTGCCGCTCGGAACAATTGTATGGAAGTGGAAGCAAACCACTCCCTGAGGTTTCTCAGCCACGACATTCTTCTCCTACCTATGCTGCGCCTACCTTCAATCTTTCCTTGCATAATTAGTTGTAACAGTTGATATTTATTCCCACGTGTAATATGTCCCAGGTATTGTAGTTTCCTCATTTTAACACTCAATACGACCTCCTTTTGTTTGTTCATCCTGTCTAATACAACTTGGTTAGTTATCTTATCCTTCCAGGAGATTTTTAACATTCTTCGGTACGCCCACATCTCAAATGCCTCCTACCTCAAAGTAAAAGATGTCAAACATATGGTCATACCAAAAAATATTGCAACGGAAATCCATATTATGTCAACCGTACAGAAGATCATACGATCATACCGTACAGTAGTACACAAAGAACTACAAAAGAAAATTTCCGCAACTCTTAGAGAAAGTTACTCCAATATATCTGGGAAAACAAGTAATCAACCCGTAAACCAACAAAACATTCAACAAGCTACCATGTTACAACCTCAGTTTCAACCACCTCTTCAACTACCTCAATCAAACAATAGCAACTTTGCATAACTATACTCTGTTTTTTAACCAGGAGGAGTAAACCAAAAAGACAGATTCACACCCAAGAAAGTTACTAGAAAAGTCACCAAATACATCTTCTTTTTTGTTGTATATCTCGGCCTTGCGGTAATCGAGTAATTAATATCGGACAAACTTACACGTCAATTCTAACCTAACTTTATGTTTGAATAATATTTTTTTTTAATTCACTTCCAATAATTATTACAATTATTACAATAAAAAAGGACGTTTTCCACAATTGGTCCCATGTATATATATTTAAATATCGGGTGATCCAGTTTTATAGATCTTTTGAGTCAATGGTACTTAATTTAGAGAATATTTTGATCCAGAGAGTCAATAATGTTACAGATCTAAGTATGGTTTTTCTCAGAAATTTGTTTTTTAATTTGCAAATAGATCTTATATGCAACAAAGCTATGCAAATGCATGTATCAAAAAGTTAGAGAGAGTTCAAAGATTTCTGAAATACTGTTCTTTTAAACTGCGTAGACCATATTCTTATTCTGGTGTGATTAATTTCTTGAATCTAGGTTTTTTTTCTTACCAGAAGAATTAACTTTGACTTCGATCATTATTTTTAAGCTTAATAATCCAATCTCCTGAATTGCTTCAGCCAGTTTGTTTTACATCTTCCTTCCAATTCACTGCTTTAGAATTGACTTTTTCATGTTTCATATCACAGAATAAATTATGGTTCAAATATAGGTGTGGTCCTACTTTTCATGCATGGTAATCAGTTACCTCATTAGATAGATTTAACTTATGCATCAATATCTTAAGGATCTATTTGAAGCACTAAAATGCAAAACAATAAATTTGTATAAATGTGTACTTGCAATTCCTTTAATGCTGGATTCTTGTTTAATTTTGACAGTGAGTTTGTCCCATTTGTTATCAATAAATAAAATTTACTAAAAAATACTGGATTTCTGTGTGATAATCAACTAATTCAATCTATTATGTTACATTCTAGTATAATTTTGTAGTTTTCTTGTGATGATCTACAACAGGAAGAACAAAACCAACTGTATCAATACAATCAAAGTAAAACACAACATTACTATAATAATGTTCTTTTATTGTGATGAAAACAAAATGAAAATGCTTCTTAAGAAGTATACACAAATTTAAAAAATAGTTGCCGTTTTTCTTATGATAATTAGATATAAATATCATACATTTATAAATTTATAAACACTGTAAATTCTATTTATTATATATATCAGCTAGAAAAATATCAGATTAAATACTATTATCGCATATCACCAAGTCCAAGTTATTACAAAAACAACTTAAAGAGTCAGAAATCGATTTATATAATATTCTGGGCATAATATATATTCGGAATGAATGTAAAAATAAAAATTTAATAATTTTATTAGTCTTCCAAATTCTCTCCATTTATGTCTTGGTGAGATTAATGAACAACTACACCATTTTGAATTTCTTGATTTATTTTTTCAGCAAAAACTGAATCTATTTCAGATATTTGAGCAAGAAAGTTTTGTTTTTGGTCAGCAGCCCTATTATTTGAATAATTTCCCCTAAAAAATAACTATGGTAAGACATTCATAATATAGACAATAAATCAACCATCCTATAAACAGTAAGATAAACAATCTATAGTTATGCTATGTAATATTTGCTGCATTGAATCTGCATATGTAAAGTAAAAATATCCTTTTTTTTTCCTTTTCTTCCCTTTCCATGTTCTTATATCTGTTGAACTAAAATACTTGACAACATTCCAGTAGAATATACAAATAAAAACTTAAAGCTTAATATTTAATAGTAATAATAATATACCTGATTATAAAAATGAAATCTATAAAATGTTTTAGTTAATTTTACTATATAATTGTAGCTAAAGTGAGCATTTCATTCTTGAAAAAGAAGCTGTGTACTATCTGTCGTATAGATGTTTTAACTCTTTTATCCTATGTTGCAAGAATATAAGGTCGACCTTCAATATTTTTAGGACATTTTACTGCTCCAGTCTGCTTATATTCTTTAATTGTTCTAAATTCTATTGTTGTAAATAGTTGAATTTGCAACACCTAAAATTAGCACATTACTTTAGTAAGTCTTGATTTTAATTATATCTATTCTGTAAAACTAACCTGCTGCCTGTTTTATTTTTACTACCGTGGCTGTTATTTTTATTCCAGAATTATCAATTTTCATGTTTGTACATGTTTATAGTACATTATTTCTCATTTGATGATAAATGATCCAAATCACTCGGCGTTTTTAAGGTGGAGAAGAATAATTACCACTATACTCTGTTTTTTAACCAGGAGGAGTAAACCAAAAAGACATATTCACACTCAAGAAAGTTACTAGAAAAGTCACCAAATACATCTTCTTTTTTTGTTGATGATCTCGGCCTTGCGGTAATCGATTAATCAATATTGGACAACCTCACACGTCAATTTTACCTAACTTTGTTTATTTATGTTTGAATAATAAAATAATTTTTTTCAATTCACTTCCAATATATATTACAATTACAAAAAAGGACGTTTTTTACATTTGGTCCCATGTATATACATATATAAATATCGGGTGGTCCAGTTTTATAGATAAATCTATGGTATTTAATTATAATTTAGAGAATATTTTGATCGGAAGAGTGATTAATGTTACAGATCTAAGTATGGTTTTTCTCAGAAATTTGTCTTTTAATAGTAGACCATATTCTTATTCTGATATGATCAATTTCTTGAATCTAGTTTTTTTTTCTTACCAGATACTTTGTATAAATAAGTGTGTACTTACAGATTCTTTAATGCTGGATTCGTGTTTAATTTTGACAGTGAGTTTGTCCTATTTGTTATCAACAAATAAAATTTACTAAAAAATACTGGATTTCTGTGAGATAATCAACAAGTCCAATCTATTATGTTACATTCCTGCATAATTTTGCAGTTTTCTTGTGATGATCTACAACCAGGAAGAACAACACCAACTGTATCATACAATCAAAATAAAACACAATATTACTTTACTAATGTTCTTTTATTGTGATGAAAACAAAACGGAAATGCTTCTTAACAAGTATACACTAAATTTAAAAGATAGTTGCCGTTTTTCTTATGATAATTTGATATAAATAACATACATTTATAAATTTATAAACACTTTAAACTATATTTAGAATATATGTCATCTAGAAAAATATCACATTAAATACTATTCGCATATCACCAAGTCCAAGTTATTACAAACAACTTAGAGTCAGTAATCGATTTATATATTAAATATTAGAGGAAAATAATAATAATAACTAAATTTCGCAAATGTCATTAGTGTCAATATGTCATAATTTAGTGGAGTAAACTTGCCCGCGGTTGGACCAATTGCAAACAAGCATTACGGCGCGGAAAATTTGAATTACTCCTCTTGGTTAAAAAACAGACCATAGTACTTGGCATCGAATCCATAGTTATCTTAATAACACTAATATGTCGCTAAATAGTTCTGAAAAGAACTGATTTTTATATAAATGCAAACGAAAAATCTAAAGATGTAAGAAATAACACAAAAAATACAGAAAATTATCGATATAAATTTTGAATTTTAAAATTTCACAAATGTCATTCGTGTCAATATGTCATAATTTAGTGGAGTAAACTTGCCTGCGCTTCGACCAATTACAAACAAGCATTATGGCGCGGAAAATTTGAATTACTCCTCCTGGTTTAAAACCAGACCATAGTTTAAAAAATAATAATGTTTTTAATAAATATTAATAAAAATGTCATATTAATATAAAAAATAGCATCAAAGTTGCGTAATAAAGTATGACTTCTGAGTCATATGATGGTCTCCCAGTACTCATGCAGATGATCGACGATTCTGGCGGGGTTGATTAATTATTTTCATATATATTTTACATACACCTTTTTTTACCGCGTTTGTCAGAGATATCAAACCACAAAACGAACTAAAAATCTGGTACAAGGACTGCAATATTCTCGTATTTATTTATAGCATAATAACCTCAAACGGGAGTTGAATAAACCGTGACAATTCGGGAGGTGGACACCTAGTGATATCATTTCCTCTGTTATCGCGACAATAGATACAATAGATGCCTTCAAAAAGTTTCATATTATATTCATTTGGATGACCAGCGACGAATCTTTTTAATGTATTCCACGTTGAGTTCCGTTTTGTAGCCAAATGGCCAAACATTCCTTTATGTATTATACAGGATGTGTTACTAACAGTGACATTTGAAGAACTCTTTCTAGAGTGTTTCGTTTATAGTATTTTCTTTTATAATATACAGTGTGGTTTACAGTATTATTCCATTGGTTCAAACTATTGTAGTACTTATAGAAAAATTAACTTTACTAATTTTTGTTAAATTTCCATCGTTTTCTTTCATTATTTTCTTTATTAATTGATTTAATAAAGACACAAACAATTTAATGACAGTATCCCCATCTCTGATTATATCAACAAGTACAGAAAATGCTATATAAAACTACTCAAAGTAGCCAAAAAATCCTACTTTCATAATCGCTTAACAAGCTCCAAAAATATTTCAAAAGAAACTTCGGTCAATAATAAACGATTTTCGAAATAAAACCAGTACAGCGAATCAAACCTTTTCTTTTCCTAACCCCAAAAATCTAAATGATTACTTTGTTAATGTGAGTAAAAATATAACCTCAACTATTTCGCCACAACAAGATCCAGTTTCCTATCTCTCTTATTCAAAAAACATTGCTGATACCTTCTTTTTAAGACCAGTTGATAAGACGGAACTCATTTCAACAATTCGTAGTATAAAAAGCACATCGTCCTGTAGTACAGATGGATTATCTATTAAAATTTTCTCAAATCTACCGCATAATGTTTTGGAGGTCATGGTCTCGCTAGTAAATGATTCCCTTGAATAAGGTACATTCCCTAACTCCCTAAAGACTGCCATCGTCATTCCTCTTCATAAAGGTGGAGAAAAATCTGATGCCTGCAACTATAGACCTATTGCCTTGTTACCAGCACTATCAAAAATTATTGAAAGACTTATAAAAGTTCGACTTATGCCCTTTCTCCTTAAATATAATATTTTATCGCAAAATCAGTTCGGCTTTTTGTCTAATAAATGCACTAGTGATGCCATATTTTCTGTGTTACATGATGTATATCTATCACTAAACAGTAACCTCTCCTCTGCCACCGTTTTCTGCGACTGTTCCAAAGCCTTTGACTGAGTAAATCACGACATTCTATTAAAAAAATTAACTTTCTATGGAATTCGGGGTGTGTCTTTGAACTGATTCAAAACTTACTTGGTAGGTAGGAAACAATTGGTTAGAATAAATGACACCGACTCTAGTTGTAAAGATATTGAGTGGGGAGTACCGCAAGGTTCAGTTTTAGGTCCCATTCTTTTTTTACTTTTCATTAATGACATCACTTACTTGAAAATTAAAGGGAAAATTTTTCTATTTGCTGATGATACCAGTATTACTTGGAGCAGCTCTGATATTTCAACGCTTCATTCAATTATAACCGCTGATTTACTTATAATCAAGGCTTGGTCAGACTCCAACTTACTTAGCTTTAACGTGGATAAGACTGTAGCATTATCTTATAAAGGAGTCATGCAACCCTTGCTTTTGAATGAGAGCCAAATCAATATCGTAAATTCCGTGAAATTTCTAGGTATTCTCATTGACAGTGATCTCAAATGGTCCTTGCATACTGACTCCTTAAGGAAGAAACTAGCCTCAGCTTGCTTTGCAATAAGATCTGTTACGAAGGAACTAAATTTATCTTCTGCCAAAATGGCATATTTCTCATTTTTCGAGTCCCATCTTCGATATGGGCTTCCATTTTGGGGTTCTAGTACAGCGGCCCAATTTGATACTATTTTTAAGTTGCAAAAAAGAGCAATCCGTTATCTATTTGGTCTCAAACAAACAACTCATTGCAAGACCTACTTCAAAAATCAGGGAATTTTGACGCTTCTCTCTTTATTTATTTTGGAAACGGTTTGTTTGATTCGAAAGCATCTAAACCTTTTTCCCGATAGACCTGACCATGGCTACTCCATTAAAAATTCGGATTGTAACGTTTATTTGCCGATCCCGTCCACTCAGCTAGTAAAGAATTCTATTCTATATCGTGCAAAGAAACTTTATAATCACCTTCCAAGAGAAATTAAATCCGCAACATCCTTCATTAAGTTTCGTAAGGTGACAAAAATCTATCTCTCAGAAAGACCATATTATTCAGTTGACGAGTTTCTCAATATATAACAAGGAAACAAAATTAGTATTGTTTATAATTACATTTGGGTGTCTCAAGCAGTGGCTACAATTTGTCGCATTTGTTGTTGTCTGTACAAATTATGTAGATTATACAATAATTTTACTAATTTAAAATTGTGTTATTCGGTTTTTTTCTATATTTGTTTTTGTTTTATACTTTTTGTACTATTTGACTGATTTATTTTTTAGCTTTGTCCATAAAATTGTTCAATAATTTTCAGTGACAATAAAGCATATTTCTATTCTATTCTATTCTATTAACCGAGATTATGAAGCTAAGTGATATATTAACCGCTCAGATAGAGTGCCCTCAAATATTCTATGAATATTTAAAGTTGTTTAAATCCGCTCATTTCAGATACAGATAAGTAATATGACAACTCAACAAAAAAAAAATCAGGACAAACTATAATTACCTCAATTCCCAATCATTCATTACATAAATTTAATATCAACCCAACATAAACGCAATTATCTTAGAAATTAAAAATTTCAGTTAATAACCTTTGTCTCTATGACTATAAGTTCAAGTAAGGGATTCCATATTATCGAAAATAAAATTAAAATTATAATCCCTTATGACTATTATCATTGACTTTACGACCTTATGATTATTATCATTGACTAAAACAATTATTTTTAAAATCGTAAAATAGTTTCGAAACACAATTCAGATTTCTGCTTTATAATCTGAGCCTTCTAAAAATTGCAAGGCAAACAGACGTTGATAAAAGATGTTAAAAGAGACATGGGGAATCTAAAATTTGCATTTCACGACATGTCTTTTACAACTAAGCAGAAATCCTTAGCGAATTGTGCTTCTAGTACTCACACAGAGTAAATCCGAATGAAATGAGAAAAGGCAGCAAATATTTGATTTCACGCAAACAAATCCTATGTATCTCTTGATACGTATTTCGACCTAATAGGTCTCGTCAGAAGAGCTATTTATAGGGGTTCTCAACGTGAACCCGTTCCCAATCCCAAGAAAATTTTGAGTAAAATTGAGTTAGCCAAATTAAAAAACATATCGTTACAAAAATTAAATTAAAAAAACAAATAAATTACTTATTGTTAATTCCTTGTCTCTTTTCAGTTTACTGCATGGGTAGACGCCGTTATTTTTGTCTTTAGTCTAGAAAATGAATCATCTTTTAACGCCATTTTCAACTATTATTCCAAGATGTCACATTACAGGAACACCGCAGAAATTCCGTTAATACTGGTTGGAACCCAAGGTAAGCATGAGATATTTATAATATACATTGATAGAGCTTAAAGTCATCATTTTTTTGTATACTCAGTTTTAAATAATTTGAAAAGACATTGCTACAATATATCCCATGAATATACGACTTAAAACAATACTGAGGAAATGTAATATTTTTATTAGCTAACCATTATTTTATTTTATCTACGGTCCAGACGTTTGTTGTTTGCTTATTTAAAATTTCCGAATGGTACGGAGCATTATCCAGTACTATAACAGAGATGATTCGTGTAAACGTGGCACCAGTTTTTCTTTCAATCAGTTTACAAACATCTCCGTATTGGTATTGTCATGATAATCGGCCGATTTTGATTTTGATGAATATGTCTCGTTCCCTCAATATCGATTTATTTTATGGATTTTATACTCTCCTCAAATTCGTTTTGTATTGTCTTTAGAAAAAATCTATGTTTCTTCTAAATAAACAGAGGAAGAACATTCTTTTTTAAATTTCATAAAAATTCTTTTCTTGTGTGAACGACTCTAGCTTTTTCATACAAAGCCTTTCTACTGTCTTCCTTTTTGAACTTAATTCCAATGTGTCTCAAAACTCTCCAGAGTCCTTGTTCTGGAAATTTCAAATACATTTCTTTCTTTTAATTTATGTATCTAATCTAAACATCGTAACTGATTTTAACGTAAAAGTGACTGGACGTGGAAAAGGTGGTAAAGGTTTGGGAAAAGGTAGCGCTAAATGTCATCGTAACCTAATTCCAAGCTTAAAATTACACAACTATAATTATAATTCTTTCATTTACCAAATTAAGAACGTGCTTGCCAACCTTAAAAATAAATTAAACTACTATTTTATTTGGGTAAAAGCTCATGTTGGTATATACACTCTGGGCCAAAATTACCCGGCCATCTTAAAAATGGCCTTAGAGTCTTAGAGAGCCTTAGAAGCCTATAGAGTGGCTTCTATACAACATGTAGCTTCTCCTTAAAAATTTTAAAGTGTTTGTTTGTCTTTGTGTATTGTATTTTGTATTGTTATGTCCAAATTTTACATTTATGACATTATACTCATGTCGGATAGTCCACAACTGACGAAATGCCCCTGAAGATGATCTATTGATCGAAAGTACTTGGGCAAGATTAAATTAATCACCGTGTTCGATAGTTGCCTTGTATACCCCCAAAGTTTAATTATTCGAACATTCAACCTTATATTGATATTAATTACTAACTAATGAAAAAATTTCATGTAAGTGTAGCTAAATTTACCTTTGGTCTAAATAAATCATATTTACAAATTAATTCCGTTTGTTCACATTAATTCGCACAATACTGTAAGTTTAATGCTAAGGCCACAAAAAAATAACAAAAACCAAATTAAAATAAGGCGTGGCCATATCTACAATAATATATGTGCAAATTATCAAATATTTGGACAGATTAAAAGTGCTTGGATATTAGCTGTGACCCCCCAAAGGGTTTTTACCCTCTAAATAAAATTTAATGTTTATTTCGTAACGTACCATAAACTATCAGAAGATAATTGAATCGTCACGTAAAAATGTATTGTTTATTTTCATCTTTTTTGTTAATAACAAGGAAAACCAAACAATACTCGCATGATAGTACATTGCGGTATGTTAAAACGATAACAAATATTTCATATGCATACCACTTCGTATTGTATATAATTTACCAAAAATTTGCATAAAAATTCTTTCACTAATTCCTTATTGGTTTGTTGTTAATATAAGTTTTAGTTTTATGTACATATAGCATAAATACTGTAAACAATTGGAGCACAAAACTAAAGTAGATAAGAAACGTAGGGCATTCGGCAAAAGAGAAAAGAGTGCCAGTTTATATAGGATGCACTGGCAACCATAAAATTTTTGACAGCAAACGTCTAATCGGTAATTAGAATTGATAAAATAAAAGAAATGCCTCCTCCATTAACAAATAATTCAGACCGTTTATCATAATCTTTTTCTTTAAATGTATGTAAAAGCTACGGTTTGTATGGATGATGTAAACCGTAGTTTTTAATTGGAATCAAGTTTTCTTAATAACGATTTTCGATATTTCGTCGGTTAAAAATACAAGTTCCTACTGTACTCTTTACAAAGTCCATATTTTTTGAAAAATGGCTTATACGATTGAAAAAAAAAATAATATCTCATCATTTTATTTTAGGGTTTAGAACATGCAGAACGTTATAAAGAATAACTTTTTTTCCTAAAACTAAAATAAGAAAAGTCCCATTTGGTTTCGACTTAATTGGGCAGCCACTTAAGCCGTTCTTTTTTATTCCTATATTCCTAACCTTTTCCTTGTTCTCTCTTGTGTCGTCAGGTGAGTATCCATCCTAATCCGAGGCTGTTTGTTAGTTATATGAGCACATTTGCTCTTGGCAGGTTGCTAACCTTACTAACAATCCTTTTTTATCGTGGCTTGAGACAGGTTATGATACCGGGCGGAAAGTATTTCTGAGCTACTGGATTCACCTATTCGTCACATCCTTCACCATTAGCGAATTTCACCAATGGTAAAGAACGAAAATGTACCAAAACAAAATAAGGAACAAATTCAAATACACTGTACTCCTATCTCTAGGTTTCTTATTTATCTTCTCTTCCATCCGTTCCTCTGCACAACGACTCCAAAAAGGTTGTCTCAAAAGATCACACAAATGAAATCGGTCAAGAAGCCGAATGGTGGCTATACTGAGAGTCTAACGGAAACTATTGGAGAGTTGTTGAAGACCCATCCTGGCTCTCAACAAATACAAGAAGATGAACCGCAAAGTATGCAGCTGGCAGAGGCTCCAAGGGGCCTCAACAGATCCAGCAGGCAACTAGCGGAAAAAATCTTTACACAAAATAAAATCGAATGGGCCGTTAAAAGCTTTAAACCTTTTAAATCTCTTATTGAGGACGGAATGTTTCCTGCTTTACTCCAAAAAGCCTTCATGCAAATACAGCCACAACTACAGCGGCTTTTCATAGCAAGCCTTGTGTTAGGTCACGTTCCAAAAACTTAGAGGGACGCAAAGATGTATTTATACCAAAGGTGGGGAAACGTCCTACGGACGAAGCGAAGTCTTATCGTCCTGTATGCCTGACCTCCTTTCTCCTAAAAACAATGGAGAAACTAGTAGATTACTACATAAGAAGCTAAACTTTAGCGAGGAATCCATAAAAAGAGCACTAGTAAAGAGAAGCATTGAAGTCTCACTAATACAATGGATTCAGTCAATGCTAAAAACGAGAAACATCACTGCTAGTATTGGAGGAGAATCTGTGACTGTAACAGAGGTAAAGGTGTGCCCTCAAGGGGGAGTATTATCTCCTCTGCTGTGGTTTTGGTTGTGGATGACCTTCTCACTAAGTTGCATGATTCTGGTTTTATAACCCAAGGTTACGCAGATGACCTAGTTGTTACAATTAGGGACAAACATAACGAGACTATATATATCTAGTCTCATGCAAACTGCTCTTAACGAAATTAAAAGTGCTCAAAAGAGGGCTTAAGTGTCAACCCCAGTAAAACGACTTTGATACCTTTCGACAGAAACGACAGAAAAAAAGGCTCATAAAAGTGGCGCCTACTGCAACAAACCGCCTTCAAAATGGTCACTGGTGTTCTCACTGGTCACTGCCCTCTGAGATATCATCTCAAGAAGATGGGCAAATCAGATAGTGAGAACTGTCGTTTCTGTCACAATGAACAGAAACGGCAGAATAATTTAATCTAATCTAATCCATCCGTTCCTCATTTTTATTTAACAACATAACAGTTCATAATAAGTCACCATGTTACAGTCTTTTCTCTCATTTCAGATGCAATAAGTGAAAACAATCCTCGGGTGATAGATGACTCGAGAGCTAGAAAACTGGCCAATGACCTGAAGAGGTGTACGTATTACGAAACCTGCGCTACCTATGGACTTAACGTGGAAAGAGTCTTTCAAGACGGTAGGTATATCTTGATTTTTTTATACTAATTAGGTCTTGGTTATTATAGTAATGATTATATTTTAATTGCGCTTCTCAAATCGACTGCTCAATATGACAAAGACTCTAAATAAATCGATAAAGTACTTTCTTTTGCAAAATAAAAAGCTTTTGTTGCCAGCCTGTCTTTTTTATTCCAGCTAGTATACGGGTTAAGTTGAAATATATTTGTGTCGTAATGATTTTGTGACTCAGATCAAGTCAGTACGGCAACTATCTCAATAAGTTAAGGATATTATCGCTTTATTTCAAGATGATGACTTGTTTCAGCTTGCCAGAAAATAGTCCAGCAAAGGTTGTCAGCTTCAACTCTGTGCCTAACTCCGACCAATTCGAGGCCTTCAACACCGAACAATCATTACTACCCGGGAGCAGTGTCCATACAAAGGCATCTACTGCAAGGCAACAATGGGTATTCGCAGCACGGACAATCACAACCTCATATGTCACCAGGGCATAACTACACCTTGTCCCATAAGGTAAAACCCTAATGCTTAATTCGTTTTTACAATTCTATATTGATCTTTTGATTTATTTCCTTTTAGGAACCAACTAGTGTTCAGCAAGTCGATTTACGTCAAGTCAATACACTCAAGTCTAATACGTCGAATTTTATTCATCGAGAAATTTCAGACAATAAGGAATTGATGTACAAATCATCAGACGAAAAGTGGAATTCTTCAACGTCTACCATCGATAGCCATGTGTCTTCACAGGTAAAATTACTGCATTATTTGTTTACTCTTTATCAGTAACTTATCTGAATATTACTTAAGTTTATAGTCGTTTATGCCCAAATATAGCCTATCACCGTGTTTAAAATCTTTTTCTTTCATACTTTTTTGTGAGAGTAGAAATCGTCCAAAAACCGTACCAACAGGTGAATTGTACCTGGCGTGAGTTGGATTCAGAGTAGACGAAGTACATCCGAACGCAATTCCCCTTTTGGGGTTCTTGTCCCCAGATGCATCCATGGTACCCTGACTACCAACTCAAACCATTCTTTCCCTTCAGTTTTCTTTTTCTGTCTGTTGCTTAGGTTATTTATCATTACCCCTGTTGTTTTTCTCTTTTTAACGATTTTTGTCACAGCCTCCAGCACTTCTTTAAAATCATTTCCCCAATGCCACTATAGTCATAAAAATGTGTGCTCATAAGATGCCCACTCTTGCAGATAGCTCAGCTCTTTCGTCATTGAACTTACTGCATTCGAACATACAGTCTTGTTGTGTTGTTTATTCCGCAGTCCACACAGGTACTACCCATTGCCATGCCTATCCTCTCAAGGTGTGCTATATATGACCGGTGTCTCCTCAGCGACTGGGAAAAGAGTTTTTGTCCATACAGTCCTCATAATCATTTGCCCACTCTTCCTGCCATTTGCTACCTATAAGTTGTAAGGCCACCATCGAAGTCGTTCTATAGGCACATACAACCCTTAATAGGGCTTTTCTTTGGAGCTTCTCTAAAATTTGTTTGTATTTTTGTTTGCCACACCGGTATCGCATATATAATTGTGGAGTGTACTAATTCCATCAGAATCCTTCTTTTTCCTACCTGAGCCTGCTATATTTGCCATATTTATTGCCAATGCTATTGCTTTCTGTTCGGCATTTTTTGCAGCATATTTGACGTATTTACCAAATATCTGCTTACCTAAATATTTAACTTTTTGGGGCATTATTCTCTCTCCCTTGGAGCAATGGTCCTAGGACCGAGCCCTGTGGCACCTCTGAGATATCTGCATAACACCTCCCCTGGCTCGTCCATAAAAAATCTACGCATTTTCTGCTAAATCCTTACATTACTACTTATATAGGCATATCAGGTGACCTTGTATTACTTCATAGCTTATCTATATTACAGGGAGCAGTGGTACAAGCTCTGGAGAATAACAACGTGGCGAAATTCGCAGCTCCCCATTCATTAGACAACCTCCAGAACGTTTCCAACGTGAATAGCAGCTCAAAAGACAACAAGGACATTCCCACACCTAACTCAACACCGACGACGTCCAGAAAAAGCCGTAGAAGATCAAATCTCTTTACACCTAGCAAGAAAGGAGATGACAAGCTGAAGAACTGCGGAGATTTCGGTAGCGGAAGAGCCATTCCTCTAAAACAAGGTAAATTTTTTATGCAAGTTTATACAGGGTGTCTCAGAGTAGATTTTAGTTTTTAAATCAATAAAACTCTATTATTTCAGCATTTGTTTAACTTTGTATCGAGACCTGAGGATGCTTTGCATATTGTAGAAAGCGAAACCGGTCGTCTGATAGTTAAATTAAATTGATTGTGAGTAAGTCTTATTTATTATTTCTTTACCTATTTGAAATGGACTCACACAAGCAACACATTCATGATTTCAATAAAACTCCGTTTCAGAGCATTTTAAAAAAACATTTATTGCGAAAATAGACACAGAACATTGGGATTTTATTTCTTAATTAACACTTCGGTTAGATGTTGACCATTTTGCTCGTAGCACTCTTGGAATCTGGATTGCAAATTAAGAAAGTCGCGCTCACACATATTCACTCAAATGTTGTTAATAGTCTTGCGAATATTTTGCTTCAGCTCTTCGATGGCGGCTGGTGAGTTAGCGTAGACGATGTTCTTTAAATACTTTCACAGAAAAAAATCTAAATGGCTAAGGTCAGGAGATCTTGGGGGCAAACGAATATCACCATTTTGTGAAATCAGTATGCCTGGAAACATTTCTGATTATTGAAGTGTTCGCTGTGTGTGGCGTAGCACCGTCTTGCTGGAACTATGTATTACCTGGATTATACCCTGGAAAATTATTTAGTTCGGGACGTAGCCAATTTCACAACATGGTACTGTTGACAGTTAGCGTGCGTTCCCCAGCGTTTTCAAAAAAGTAGGGTCCGATGATCCCCGATGCAGACATGTCACACCAAACCGTCACCTTTCTTGAATGCAACTGTTTCTGGTGTAATTCATGTGGATTTTCAGGACAGTAGTAGCGAGCATTGTGCTTGTTGACGTATCCATTAAGGTAAGAGTGAGCCTCGTGACTGAAAATAATCCCTTCTAAGCGACTGTTATCCCAAAAACGAGTTATCATCTCAGAATTATTTTTTCTTCAGTAAGTAATCAGTTAATCTCAACAGTAATTTCCTCAATCAATAAGAAAAGAGAAAAATTGATAGTGATCTTGATAATATACTGTTACTATCGGAACTGAAGACTGGACAAAATCTACAATAACGACCATACATAAAAAAGGCAGCTTCCATAAATACGACAATTAGAGAACTATCTCTCTTATATCCCATGCCAGCAAGATAATGCTACATATAATCAATGAGAGACTGAATACATTCCTTCAAAGAGAAATTCCACAAGAGCAAACTGGATTTACCAAAGGTAGAGGCACTCGAGAACACCTGCTGAATATAAGATAGATAATCGAGAAATCTAGGGAATTTAACATCCCACTATACATCTGTTTTATAGATTACCATAAAGCGTTCGACAGGGTCAAGTGGAGACACTTATGGCGAATACTAAAAGAAGTAGGCGTACCACAACATCTAATTACGCTTATAACTGAACTATATGAACACACTACTGGATCAGTTAAAGTACTTGACACACTTTCGAACGAATTTCATCCAGAACGGGGTGTCAGACAAGGATGTATACTATCTCCACAATTATTCAACATATATGGGGAGTATATTATGCGAAGAGCACTTGAAGGATGGGAAAAGGGCATCTCAATAAATGGTCATAAACTAAACAACCTACGTTTCGCAGATGACACAGCCCTTCTTGCAAATAGTCAAGCAGAGCTGATAGAACTTATACGACTGATCGAAAACGAAAGTCAAATATTTGGTCTGCAATTAAACATATCAAAGACAAAGATCATGATAGTGGATAGACTACACAACAATCATCCACACATAACCACAATTGACCGGTTCGAGGTTGTGAGCTCATACTTATATCTGGGATCATTAATCACAAACACAGGGTCATTACAAGAAGAGATTAAACGTAGATCTGATCTAGCAAAAGTTGCCACAGCAAAAATGACCAAAATATGGAAGGACTGTCAAATTTCAAGAGCGATAAAGATGAGGTTGATCAACTGCTTAGTATTCCCAATACTGACCTACGGATGTGAATCTTGGACTCTGAGACAATCGGAGAGAAGAAAGATAGACGCCACTGAAATGTTCTGTTGGAGACGAATGTTACGAATTCCTTGGACCGACCGCAGAACAAATAATTCAATTTTAAGAGAGCTAAAAGTTAGCCAACGACTCTCTAGTAAAGTCTATCTCCAACAATTAAAATATTTTGGGCATGTTATAAGAGCAAACACAGAAAACATGGAAAGACTCATAATACAAGGAAAGGTAGAAGGCCGAAGATCACGAGGAAGATCCCCAACAAGGTGGATAGATCAAATTACAGGAATATGCCAAAGACCTATGCATGAATTAAAAGAAATGACCAGAGACAGAGATCTCTGGAGACGGACAATACACGACATCACGTCGACCAATACACTCCCCCTGGGGGGTCAGGATTGAAGAGAGAGATCGGAACGAATAGATAAATTTTGAACATCTTTAACAATTAAAATACAATATTATGGATTTTTACACGCCCTGTATCGCTGATTGAAATTTACTTTAATTATTTTATTCTCTTTCAGGTTATCTATACAAACGAAGCAGTAAACCTTTGAATAAAGAATGGAAAAAGAAGTACGTGACCTTGTGTGACGATGGACGACTGACCTACCATCCTAGTCTTCACGACTATATGGACGATGTGCACGGAAAAGAAATTTCTCTGCAGTATGTTACTGTTAAGGTTCCCGGGCAGAAACCTAGAGGCTCAAAATCGATCATTACAGTGGCTGGTGGTGGGCATAGTGCTATTAATGAAGGTGTTGGGGGATTATCTATTACAGGTAATACGATTTAATAGTTTTTAGCCGTTTGTATTACTTAGTGTATTAATTTTTTATTGTTCATTTTAGGTAAAGAACGTAAGACTTCAGATAGAGTTCTTCTTGGAGCCTACGACCCGACTAAAGACGTTAATTCGAAGTATGGGGCCCAACAATTAAGCGGAGATGAGGGGATGGTATTGTCGAGCAGCAATTCCTTCTTGAATGGTGAGATTATCAAATCTGAAACACCGCATGTTAAAAAGAGACATCGAAGAGTAAAGAGCAGTGGCGTGAAGAACGCAGAATATGACGGTTAGTTTGCTTTTTTTTAATCTTATTGTTCAGTAACATTAGGGTAGAAAAATATTCCTTAATTACTCGATTAAAGTGTCGTTAGGCTTACCAAATCATTTCTGTTGCAGATACAGACGCTAATGAGTTCTATATTGTCTCATTGGATAACAAGCAATGGCATTTTGATGCTACCAATTCAGAAGAGCGCGACGACTGGGTTGCTGCCATAGAGCAGCAGATCCTCAACTCTCTCCAGTTGAACGAGACCTCAAAAGCCAAAACTAACCCTGTGGAGGCCTCGACGATTCAGTCGATTAAAACGAGGGTGCCTGGTAATGGATTATGTGTGGACTGTGATGCGTCAAGTATGTTTAATAGTGATATTCCATATTCGATTTCTCATTATGATTGTTAAAACTTTTTTTTTTTTGTAGATCCTGATTGGGCTAGCCTGAACCTTGGTGTTTTGATGTGCATTGAATGTTCGGGTATTCACAGAAACTTAGGATCTCACATTTCCAGGGTTCGATCAATGGATCTTGATGAATGGCCGTAAGTTTCCAAATTCTGTTTATTTTAGATATAATTATAAACAATTTTGGTGTTTCGTAATAATATAATATAGATATTAGTAGACTGTGTTATAGATAACAACCAAATAGCCTATTCGACTGTTACTATTGATGAAAAAACTTTTGAAATGGTGCTTCATAAGAAATTATCAGATGAATATATTAAAATATGTGTATATAGATCAACAGGCTTTAATATTGTGAGCTAAAAACTTTCTAACGCTCTAGAAAATCTTCCAAGTACATGAAAACATAGATTTATATAAAAATATATAGAAAAGCACAAATTGAGAATGTAGTTAAACAATGAGTTTTCAAGAAGAGAGAAAAGACAATAAAACAAGCCGATTATTTAATATAGACCAGCTGATATTTTACAATCGGATATACTACAATTATTAAGAAAATAAAAGCTAAATCATGAATGTGAGTCTATTTCAAATAGGTAAAGAAATAATAAATAAGACTTACAATCAATTTAATTTAACTATTCAGACGACCGGTTTCGCTTTCTACAATATGCAAAGCATCTTCAGGTCTCGATACAAAGTTAAATAAATGCTGAAATAATAATAAACCCATATTAGGGTATTGTCTAATAAAGATAAACAAAGTAGATGTTATAAAATTACAATAATTATGCCAATATTACATGTCTGTGGTTTTTCAAAATGAATAAAAAGTTTTTAACAGACAAAGTAAGACCCACAAATTGTTATAAAATAGTCTATTAGATTGTGAATAAATTAATAAATGAGCAAATAAATAAAATAAACATTACTTACATTCCGGTACTCTATTAATTGATGGATGGTAGAACATGGTTGAAACTCCTATGTATTGTTGAATGGAGAACTCAATTCTGTCATTGCAGTTGTTTGACAGTAAACGGGAAGTTCTTGAGGAGATAGATTTGATCCAATGAAGAAGAGATATGTGTGTGATTGTTTGTTAAATGAAAGTGATGTAATATACCATTGTATTATTAAAAGTTATTTATACTTATTCGAGAGATACATTTATGAAATTTGTGTTATTTATTGAGTAATTGTTTTATGAAGATGACAGTTTTATGACAATGAATAAGTTTAGATGTAAAAATTGTGTGGGTGTGCAATTATTTTTCAACTTGTAGTTATCAAATTAATTTGATAAAGTTCTATTGGCAATTAGTAAATTATTGAAAAGTCAGGTAAATAAAATATTAGAATAAAAACAATTAAGGGCAATTTAAACACACTAAAACAGAAAACACTTAGAAGGGACGAAACACATTAAATTTAAAAGGGGGAAGGACTTTAATGCACTACATCTCAGTCTTGGGCACAATGAGTTTTTTATGTTTTATCTATTAGATTTTAGTGGTAAATTTGACAGATGTAGGTTAGCATGTGACAGTTCTTCTTCTGTTTCTCAATACTGCAAGTTAAGTTATCTAGTTTTGTGAAATATGCTGTTTATTAATGAATGTCTATAAATTGTTTCAATTAAGATATCAAAAGTAAATTGATGTGTTTAATATTGGCATACTTTAACAATCTTTAATTAATCAAATTTAATGTAACAATACGGATAATTGAAATACATCCTACAATATAACTAACTCAGTCTTATGAACAAATTAAAGTGATTCTTTGGCAACTTAACATGTACATTTTATCAAATCAAATGTATAATAAGTTTACAAAGGTTTTTATTTTTATTTGAAATTTTTGCAGGTGTGAGTTATCTGCCATGGTGTTTTTTTTAAATATTTAAGATATTTAACTCAAATTTTGATATATTAATATATTAATATATTAATATCTAATATACTAATATGTAACCAAAGCAACAAATGGATAATTATTGATGGTAATTAATTTATGGGCTCAAGAAATTGACTGAATTATAAAGCCTTCAATAATTAGTTGGTAGTTATAATATCTGACAGTTGGAACCGGAAATTGTTATACGAACAGGTATAATGATCCTCTATTGAAATCGGTATAAAGTAAATTTATTCTTATTTCAATTTTTCGTGTCATATGAACAGATATTCCTCACACCGACATGAACAATGGTGAGTTTGTACAATTGTTTTAAGTAACACTTTAAATTCAATAAAGTGTTACTTAAAACAATTGTACAAACTATTTTATTTATTTGCTCATTTATTAATTTATTACAATCTAATAGACTATTTTATAACAATTTGTGGGCCTTACCTTGTCTGTTTAAACTTTTAAAACTTTTATACTTTTTATTCAACTTACTCTTTTAAATAAAACCACAGACATGTAATTTTGGCATAATTATTGTAATTTACAACATCTACTTTGTTTATCTTTATTAGACAACACCCTAATATGGGTTTTTATCATTTCAGCATTTGTTTAACTTTGTATCGAGACCTGAGGATGCTTTGCATATTGTAGAAAGCGAAACCGCTCGTCTGATAGTTAAATTAAATTGGTTGTGAGTAAGTCTTATTTATTATTTCTTTACCTATTTGAAATGGACTCACACAATCAACACATTCATGATTTCATGATCTAAAATAATGAATTTATATACAAGTGTATCAAGTTAAGTTAGCGATGTAACTGAAGGGTTTGATGAATAAATATCAGTAATGCAGAAACGAGTAACATATTTTAAAATGATTTTGTTTTGTAGTCCTGGAAATCTTGCGGTAATGCTGGCGATAGGAAACTCTCTGGCTAACTCCGTATGGGAATGTCAGATCCAAAACCGATCGAAACCCAATCCCCAGTCCAGTAGGGAGGAAAGAGAGAAGTGGATCCGATCGAAATATGAACATAAGGAGTTTTTGCCGCCTCCGAACAACACGATGCCGTTAGGACAACAACTTATAGGTATGTTTTTGCGTTGTAAATAATAAAGTAGATCATTTATATTCTCTGTTTTCAGATTCTGTTTGTGCATCAAACATTAAAGGGATAATAAGTGTGTTAGCAAGGGCGAACGTTCAGGAAGTCAATACAACTGTGGGTCCTAGAGATCTGAGGACGCCTTTACATCTGGCGTGTGCAATGGGAAACTTGGCTGTAGCTCAGCTGCTAATCTGGGTAAGATCAATGATTAGGTTTTTAGGTATATTTGAGAAATTGACGTCCAAAAAAGGATATAGGTCAAATCTAGATAGGTATGTAGGTGAAATACACTTACAAAACAATAAATTTGATTTAAACATCAATACCTTTACTAAATTAGAAGTATAAAATCGAAAGGTAAATGTATAAAATTGAAAGTTAAATGTAGTCTATCGTTATTGTTGACCCTTTCTGTCGACTCAAACGTGCATCCTAATACCATCCTCTAGACAGTCACAGTTTCTTTCTTCGTGGTCAGCTTCTTCAGTTTCAGGGACGTTGTTAGAAATGATACGAAGATACCAAAAGAGTGTTTGATCGTCCTTCCAATTGTCTCCAAAGATGTGCGTCAATAACTTGTCAACATATTTCTTTTTATTGTTCTGAAGCTATTTTCTTGTGGCATTAAAAATTAATTACTATTTAACTGGGAATAAGCCACAATTAAAGATAAAAATACGTTTATTGACGTTTCAATTTTCACTTCGGAAATCGTTCTCAAAATACAAACAGTAAATTAAACAAAATTTTGTTTTTTGTTACATAGTGAAAAATTTTTCTAATAATTTAATTTTATCTGACTCATTTATATTGACAATTCAGGCATATATTATGCATTTTAAAGTAGACGACTTTGAAATGATATTGCCAATATTGTTGAGTTGCGCTCCTGGGAGGACTTTACTTATAAGATAGTTCATTCGATTACATAAAATCAACTTTAACTTGAGAATATCCGTCAGAAAAAAATCGTAGCATGTAATTCGTCTTTAAAAAGACAAACACATGACATGATGACAGTAAAATTCTCCTGTTAGTGATTCCATAGTAATTTGGAGGTATGTAGATGATGTATTTTCAATATGGCCTCATGGATCAGAGTTGTTGGACACATTCCTAAATGATATAAACGATAAAGAAGAGACAATAACATTTACCATGGAAAAGGAATATATTAACACGCTAGCTTTCCTGGATGTTTTAATCTCTAAAAACGATACTGGATATGAGACTCAGGTGTATAGAAAACCAACAACCAAGGGAATAATTAAATCCTTATACGATAGAGCCAAAATTACTTGTTCTAACGAAAATTCGTTCTTGGAGGAGAAACATTTGTTAACATCTGTTTTATTAAAAAATGATTATCCTTTATCGTTTAGATATAAATAAGGAATTTTCAACAATCGATCGAATAGAACAGAACAACTTAGAACGAGATCCTACAACATACACAAGGAATAATATGAGGAAAATAACAATACCGTACATAAAAGGATTATCAGAAAAACTTAAAAGGATAGGAAATAAATTCAACATTTCAACAACATTCAAAACAACAAACACGTTGAGATCTATTTTGTCCAAAACCAAACCTAACAATGAACAAGAAAGGACAAAGAATTGCATTTATAAAATACCTTGTGAATGCCATCAGTTTTATTTAGGTGAATCATCAAGGCCATTAATTGTTAAAATAAGTGAACATCAATCTTATATTAAAAATAGAGAATTTGATAGATCTTAAATATCTAAACACGCATGGGATAATGAACATAGGGTTCAATGGAATAATTCAAATGTAGTCCTAAAAGAAACGGATGGTAAAAAAAGAAAAATCAAAGAAGCGGCTCTAATTATGCTAAATGAGGCCAATTGTGTCGCAAATTCCTCGGCAGAATGTAGTAGGATCTGGTTACCAATATTGAAAGAGGAAGTTATTAATAAGAAAATACCAGTATTAGTAAGTCAGTAACATATAGAGGATACATCATTTATGTTTTTTAAATAACGTAACATATAAAATAAGAATTTTGATGTTTGTTGAAGGTAAACTTAATTCACGAACAAATACTTACAATGTCGGGATAGTATTATGAGGTTTTTTTCCTGGTTTTTCCCTCATAATTTACTATGGAATCACTAACAGGATAATTTTACTGTCATCATGTCATGTGTTTGTCTTTTTAAAGGCGAATTATATGCTATGATTTTTTTCTGACGGATATTCTCAAGTTAAAGTTGATTTCATGTAATCGAATGAACTATCTTATAAGGAAAGTCGTCCCAGGAGCGCAACTCAACAATATTGGCAATATCATTTTAAAGTCGTCTACTTTAAAATGCATAATATATGTCTGAATTGTCAATATAAATGAGTCAGATAAAATTAAATTATTAGAAGAATTTTTCACAATAACAAAAAACAAAATTTTGTTTAATTTACTGTTTTTTATTTTGAGAACGATTTCCGAAGTGGAAATTTAAACGTCAATAAACATATTTTTATCTTTAATTGTGGCTTATTCCCAGTTAAATAGTAATTATATTTCTGTTTGGCTGGAGGTATGCTGTAACCGAGTGGCAACTCATCTGTCTCTACTAATGCGCATTTTTTAGCGCTTCAGATAATTGACATTTTGTTGGAGATTATGACTAGTGAATTTCTATTTAAGTTGTACTATATTCGTTCTTATTGTACTCTTTCTTTGTACTGTTTTTTATTAATCCTTTTCCATTTTTGGTTTGTGAATTTGATATTTACTATTTATGTTTCCATCGACCTTTATGCTGTTTTTTTTTCGCCGTTAACTGTCATAAATATAGGTAAACTAGATTTTTCTCATTTTAAGATTTGCTTTTAATTTTAGCATAACGCAGACGTGAAGTGCGTAGACCAGGACGGACGCACCTGTCTGGCCTACGCCAAGGCTGCGGCCAGTATAGCATTAGCCAAGTCCCAAAGCACGCCTTCAAATGGAGGAGGCGACCCAGATGTTTCAGCAGCTGCTTGCAAAGCTCTTGTCGACCTGCTTCTCTCGTACGGTTGCCCCGAGGCAACAACTGTGTCAATCAGCGGAACGATCCCGAGGCGGAGACCCACCAATCAGACTGCCCCTGGCGGACAGTACAATAAGATGCCATCTAGTGTGCTTTGAGCGAAATGCCGGGATTTATAAATCGGTTTTTGGGCGCTGGAACCAAAATATTTGAAAATAATTTATTAAGAAGTCAATGCTGTGCTTTTAGGCGTAAAATTTGTAAGTTTTATTTAAAATTCGGAGCTTAGAAGTCACATTTAATATAGGACAAGCATGTAGACCGTCTTGAAACCGAATCTTTAAGCATAAAACTCTTTGATTCACTGTAAAGACAGTCTTATTTTAAACTTGTGAACTAATAATTTATTGCTCTATACACCAATATAGATTACCGAAAGAACTCTAACTACACCGATAGTAAACTAGTTATTTTGTACCTGGTTCCATGTGCCCTTCTCTGTTAGAAGAGCTTACAGTACGACGATGCTGTTCATGATATTTTTAAGGAGATTTGAAATTACCTGCGACTGATTCGTGTAAGATTTAACAAGAAAACTGCTTAAAACTCTCGTCTTTGGCCGAACTATAGGTTTATTTAAGAACCAATGTGCTGTATATTCCATTAAGATTACACCACATGATACAACATTTTGGTTCTGTTATTTTCTGTTGTATATTTAGGGACGTGTGCAAAATTTAAAAAAATATATACCAACTCGAATATATATGTATATTTTTATGTTTTTATGTTGCTTCGGTTTATAGATGACGTACTTTTTATCCTTAAAACATGCTTGAAATATTAAAATTGTATTGGAAAACAGTAAATAAATGATTATTAAAATCGTTACGCTGCAATATAGACTGTCTATAACAATTTAGTTACAATATATTTAACGTTGACTAAAAAAATGTATTGAAACAACGGTTACTTAATACTAAATAAATTGCCTTAAAAATTATTTTGTGATTCTATCTACATTCAAATACAAGTATGTAGTTTTTAGGGTCAATTTGATGAAAATTTAATTAAGTCGACGCCTTTTTTGTAGAAACTTCCACTCGTAATTGCACGTTATCGTCTTGGATTAACTATTTTGTTTATAAAAAGTGCCCAAATTTTATGCACATATGCTTAGATTGAAAGTATTTTACGTGACACCGAAGCAGCACTTAACAAATTGTCAATTTAATGTATATCTACGTACATTTTTAAGATACTTAATTTATAATTATTATTTTTTATGATTGTATATGAAGAAATTCTATTTTAAAGTTTTTATTTATGTATATTTTTTTATGTGGGTTCGAGCGACAGAATTTGTCTTACAGTTTTATTTATTACTGTTTATTAAAGTCTCAACAGTATCAATTGAAAAGCGCAGATTTTTTTTAACCCTACAATGCGCAATTTATTATTATCAAAAAAAAGATAGGAGGATAGATTAACTGATTATAAGTAAGGAATAAATAGTAAAAAAAATCACCCATCAAAATATTGTTTATAATTTGATATTTTATTGGCGATGCATATATGCATCATTGCGCACAAAGGAGCACAACATAAAGTAGTAAGGTGAAAGTAACTAAGATTTATGAAAGGTTTTGAAACAGTTGTTTTTTTTTTTTTTTGTTTAAACACAAAGCCGTATTGCACTTTTCACACACCACAAAAGTTTGATTTTCACACACAGGATTCTTACAACGTAGTCGTGTATTGTTCCAAATGGGAAGATGATTTTGGTTGTCCAATCTGACATCCTGGAGTGGCAAGGGAGCAACATTAGCTTTTTTTCTTTTAAAATCGATTTGTTTTTGCAAGTCAGATGGTCCTCCTCTTTTCGTCGCATTTTGTGTGCCAATAGTAGATAGTGCACATGCTAAGTCAACTCTAAATTGTGCAAGTTTTAAAAGGTTTGGCTTGCCTTCATTACATCGTCGATAAAGAAGCCAAGCGTTTATTACAGTTATGTCAATGAGGTGATAAAATAACCTCATGTACCATTTTCTTGACCTCACCTTTATTTGTATCTACCAATGATGCTATCGAGCAAATCAACCCCACCCATATGACGGTTATATTGCTTTACAATGGCAGGGCATGGCAACTGGATCTTCTTTTTCGGTTTTCTGTCATATCTCCCTAGCGTTTGAATAGGATCGGTACCAACGAATGAAGACAATAATGTAACTGTTTTATTACCTCTCCAGAAAACATTACTTATATCAGTGCCTTCATAATCCGCTACAAATTCTTTAAAAGTTCCTCTGGGTAATTTAATCAATACTGCTTCAGTTGGCATTTTACAGCATGGAATTCGATTTCTGCGTACTGTTCCAAGACTATGAATTCCTTGTTTCGCCAAAACCCTAATTACAGGTACGGATGTATAGTAATTATCAAAATATAACTTGTGATAACAATTTCTAGGAATTTCCCGTGCCAATCTCACGACAATATTGCTACTTGCACCCAAACAGGTTCATTTTGTAGCCGTTTTGTTGGACCATTTTCCGTGTCAGTGTATATTTCAAATTTATAACAAAAACCTGAAACCTCAGAAAGCACAAAGAGCTTATATCCCCATTTGTGTGGTTTGAGCGGCAAGTATTGCTTCATATGGTGGCGAGCTTTTGTTGCACATATCTGCTCATCTGTAGACAGCATTTCTTCCATAGGTATTGTTAAAAATTTTGATGATAGGGAATTTATAACAGGTCGTAATCGGTGTAATTTGTCACTGGCTGAATCAATCTGATTGTCATTAAAATGTAAATTAGAGCGTATTTTTTCAAATGACTTTTGACTTATAGCATTTTGGACCATTGCTAATCCAATAGTATCATTCCAATACATTCTTATATTAGGTATTAAAACTACAGAAGTTATTATACAAATTCTCATATATTTGTTCAAGTCATTCTTTGTTATTTCAAAAGGTTTAGCTGGATTTTTCTGAATGCTGTATCTAGTACTTTCTTCAACGATTTTTTCTATGAGATCGTCATCGAAGAAATATTTAAAAAATTGGTATGGTGTCTGTAAATCTAAAATTACATTTGGCAGAGTAGTATTCCCTGTAAATGTTGATGGTACGTTTCCAATCTTTTTCTTTCTCCATAACAACTCCTTACATTTCACCACTTCAGATTTAGAAAAACCATTAGTAGAAGTCTTGTTGGATTTGATAGCAGCTTCTTGCACTTTATCTCCACTGTCATCTGAGTTATCCACGTTACAGTATCCGTTTGATTGATTATGTTCGACATCAGATACCATAATCTTCATTTCATTGGTGCCTCGCTGATTTAAATATTTATCCAACAGATCCGCAGAAATAGGTGCAGCTATATTTGTAGATTGTCTAGTTTCATCTTCGTCGTCACTAAAATCATCTAATTCATCTTCACTGCCACTGGGTATGTTTACTAGTAAATCAAGTAAACCGTCGTTGTCCATCTTTATTTTAAAAGAGACACCTGCAACAAAAAATGATAATATCAATGAAACTATCATTTTTGCGAACGTATTATAAAATGTTACAACTCTTATATTTTTTTGTGCAATTATGCATCCGAAAGCTCAGTGATTCAAATATGAATCGACTGTTATTTTTCCAATTTCAAAATAAGTAAATATATTTTTCAATTATTATGTCAACTAACATTCTTGTATTAAATTTACAAATAGCTCAATAATTTTTTTGTACTCACCCTAGTAATAATTAACAAGTTATTAGCAAAATAAAACACCACAAAAGCACAAATAGTGTAACCACGTGGACGAATCCGTTTACACTGAATAACTAAGATTATTGTGCAGCCCACGATATCCTAGATCTGTTTACCAGATGGACGGGTAGTACATAATTGAATCAAGTCGTTTTCTAAGCTTAAAATTTATTAGAGGGTACCGTGGAAGCGAAAAACCAGGGTGATGTAAATATGCATCGCTGCGCATTGTAGGGTTAAATATGCATTTTTTAGCCTTCACTCTGTACTAGTACCTTAATTTTCATTACAATAAATTGTAGCTTAGTCCTATATAAACAATATTTAAAACTTTCGTTGGACCTTATAATTATGAATGAAACTGTATCCCAAGTTCTTCGTTATTTTCACTATATGAGTAACAGTGACACCTGAACTAGTCCACAATGTATAATAAATCAACTGTATTTGATCGGAAACTCTTAATTTATACTTAAAGAAAGCTTTGCTCAGTTTTTATGATTGTTTGTATGCTAATAAAATTTTATATGTCTACTGTTACTCTGTATGGCAATGTATCAGGTGTATCCTTATCTTTAAGGTTGGTATTACTCAAAATGAAACATAAATCCAGTATCATATCTTTTTAAGTTACTATTTTATCATTTCTTAATTCTGAAATTATTTAAAGATACTCCTGGTATATAAATCAAGGCTTTTGTACTTAAATACTTGTCACTGACCATTTTAGGTGTATATATTGAATGTTTTTGTGTATAAGTACTCATATTCGGAGGATATGTCGATTATAATATCGGTTTCATTTGACAGGAAGTCAATGGTGGATACGGCCGAAGGTTTTACCATGCAAAAAAAAATGAAGCAGATATTTAAGAAGGGAAAATAATCCTATACGGGTAAATTTGGCGAAAAGGCATGAGGAAGCAATAATTAGAAATTAACTTTTACCTTCTATTCGTATGGAATCTCCTTCGGTCCAATCCGCGCCTGTGAAATCTTTTCTGTAAAAATGTATATTGGCTGGAGACGACAAAAATCTTTACTACATGTTATTGTGACAATTAATGGATGTTAAAACCTTTGCAAGAAACAATCATTTTTGTTCGACGTAACTCACTGTTTTCAGCACTGATCGATTTTACATGATTTTTTTATTGCTATTAGTACGAAAATCACAAGATTAGCACTGTTTTTCTAGGGACTAAAAGCAGGCTTTTTACTCTAGGTAGACAGTAGTGCAAAAGTTACTATTGCCGCAGCTTTCCTTTTAAAACAACTTCTAGCTTCATAGGGATTGTAAAAGATATTATTGTAAAAGATATTGTAAATTGTATTTGATAGTTTTTTTAAACCTTAATATTTTTAAGGTACGTAGTTAACACAAA